GGCCGGCGGAGGGGACGACCTCGGGGCGAACGACGAGCTGATCCCCTTCCAAGACGAGGGGGGCGAGGAGCAGGAGCCGAGCAGCGACAGTGCCTCCGCGCAGCGGGACCTGGACGAGGTCAAGTCGTCCCTGGTCAACGAGTCGGAGAACCAGAGCAGCAGCTCGGACTCGGAGGTAAGGAGGCTCCCGCGGCCGACCCCGGGGGACCCCGGCCCCGCGCCCGCTCACCCGCCCTCGCCTTTGTGTCTCCTCCGCAGGCGGAGAGGCGCCCGCAGCCCGCCCGGGACGCCTTCCAGAAGCCGCGGGACTATTTCGCCGAAGGTACGTGCGGGTCGGGGCAGCCCCCAGTCTCCGGCCCCGTTGCGCCCAGCGTCTCAGCTCAGGCCGCCCACGGTTCCCCTGGCCCCGTGGCCGTGCCCCTGCTCTCCGCCCGCCGCGGCGACAGCCGTCCTGGAGCGCGGTCCCCGCCCCGGGTTCCCTGCCGCCGCGCTGTCCCGGGGGCCCGGGCCTCACCCCCGCCTCGGTCTTGCCCGCAGTGAGAAGGCCCCAGGACGGCGCGTTCTTTAAGGGCCCCCCGTACCCTGGGTACCCGTTTCTGATGATCCCGGACTTGAGCAGTCCGTACCTCTCCAACGGACCCTTGTCTCCCGGAGGAGCGCGCACGGTGAGTGCCTGTCGGGCCGCGCCCGGGCGGGTGGGAGGCCGGGCCGGCGGGATGCGACCCGGGCTCGGCGATGGGGTGGGGGATGGGGCCGTCCCGGGAGGATCCTGGGCAGAACATGTTTGCGGAGTTGAACTGTTCTGTGGCGGCCGAGCGTTAGGCTGCGCTGGGCAGTGTCTGGATGAAAGTAAAGTTCCTTTACATTTTCCCCTTCTGTTGGGGAGAGGCTTTGGGGTCCACTTCTGGGGGTGTTCCCTGGCCTCCAAAATTCTTTGCTGGCAGTAAAGGAAAACTTGGATTTGTGCCGGCTTTTTTTGGCGCGGGGGGCGGGGGGGGTCTCGCTTTCCTTCCTGGAAATCCGTCAGCTTTCCCTGGCAGTTAGGCAATGGGCCGGGGGAGCTGGGTTGGCGACGTTGCCCCCGACTTCAATTTCACTGAGCGGCTCCGAGTTGGTTCCTAAGAAACCCAGTATTCGTGGCGGATTATTCACAACCACCGCCCCCCCCCCCCAAGCCCTCGAGCAGGGGCCTCAACTGTTCTGTGGAGCTTGGGATTTTAAACTCGCCTAGATGATTTGGAGGGTGACCCGAGGCATTCTTCAAGTTGAGGAACTTGGCTTTTTCCCCCTTTGTTGCCGGCTTTTCTCATTTAAAGCGAGCGCTGCGACACTTTAAACCTGTTAATGGGCGCTCATTGTGTGCTGTGCGCTGGCATTTAGAGCCGTGATTAAGCAAATTGACCGGGCCCCAGACGACGTGCAAATGAGGGCGGATTCCATCGCCCCCTCCCTGGCCCTAAACTCGCGCCCCCCGCGTCGCGAGGGGCGCAGCCCTGGGCCGGCGAGGCCTTTGTGTCCCCCGAGCCGCCACCTCACCCCACCCCAGGACCGACTGCCCAGGTGCTAGGTCCGATGGCAGATCTTCGGTGAGCACCTACTTACTGTGACTGTGTGTCAGGCTCTTGCGCGTCGTCCCTTGGGCGCCACGCGCGCCTTGGTGGTTCTCTTTGCTTCCCAGTGCCCGCCAATTCGTTCTTGATTCGGGGGCGGGAGCTGTTGGCGCCTGAGGAGCAGGCCCAACAAACTCACTTTTTGTTTAAGCTGTCCTTAAATAGTGATCGTAATTGAAGGGCCGCCTGAGAAGTGCTCGGTGATGAATGGGCGCTGCCTGCTGACGTGGTACAGGGTCGGTGGAGAGTGGAGGCATGGCTGTGGGTTCAGTGGAGGCGCTCTCCTGGCCGGAAGGGATGTGGCAGTGGAGGTAGGGGGCTCTGACCTGGGGAGAGGGGCGTGGGACCACACACCTTAACCTTTCAAGAAGGGAAGGAAGGCCCCGCCGCTTTGTCCCTGCTTTGGAGCACCCCAGGAAGTCCTGAATATAAGCTGGATACGGGCATCTGACTGGTGCCTTTTCTCATTCATATTGAAAGTGGGTGAAGTAAAAGTTGAGCAAAACAAGCTGCAGGGACTTCGTTTAGGTTTCCACTGATTCCCTTCCCTGTGCGCAGATGTAGCTCAGTTCTGCAAGGGTTTTGAAAGCTCACTTTTTGCTCAGGTCCCTGTCACTTTGTGTGCGAGAGGGTGATGCTAACACAGTCCCATTTTTCCATTTACCATTACATGTCTGGAAAGAGGAGTCTGGGAGGCATTAAGGTCCATGAATCAGCACTGATCCAGGTCCTGGTGCAGATAAAGTCACCAGAAATGTCCCAGATATGACCAATCATTTCCCTCAAGCAGGCTCTTCCTTCCACCCACCCAATTCTCTTTAGGGTGTTTTGATTCTTCCTCTTTGAACCCTGACTCTGACAACTGCCTGTCTTCATCTGTTGCTCCCCACCCCCACCCCAAGAGCTCCAGGGGGACAGTTTTTCTCTTTGCGTCCTGTCCCTTCTTTCTTCCTTCTACCATCTTCTACTGCCCTTCCTTCCTTCCTTCTTCCACCTTACATGTTCTTTTGCCTAAGAACTTCCACAGGCTGATTCTCGCTGGTACTGGGGATTCCTGATGACTAAATCCAGGCCTGCCAGGGAATTTTGGAGCCCTCCTCGGAGAAGCCAACCTTTCTTTCCCTGCCTGTTTCTGACTGTCCCTGCTCATTCCTGCAGCCGTTCCCGGCCTGGGCCCATGTCACTGTCCTCCTTTTAAGCCTCCAGGGACACTCAAGTCTTCTTGCGTGCAGCCTTTCAGAAGGAACTTAAGTGTGCCCTGTCCCACTCCCATACATAGTCTTGTTCCCCTGGTGAACTGCCCCGACAGAAGTTCAGTTTCTCTGTAGTTTCTGTGCCCCTTCTGTGCCCATAGTTGTGTTAGGCCTGCCTGGTTACAAAGTTCATTGATGTGCCGGGGAAGTTTCCTGCTGTTAGATGAGCTCCATAGAACCTACTAATTTTTTACCTTATCCTTGAGCATCATGGGTTTTTAGGAAAGCAAGTGAGGAAACACTTAAGCACTTGATTGTCTGGACTGTAAGGTTGAGATGATGCTTTTCCTGTGGTTGATTATATTGTTATAATTAATCTGATTCTCACAGTGGGCAAATTGTAGGTGCAGACAAAGTGGCCCTCAGTTGGGGTCCAATCCTGGTAAAATGAATGTAGATAGTGGGTAGAGGAGGGGTGGGGGCGAGCAGCTGACGTGGGGGCCGGGTGCCCGGAATATATGATCTGGTCTCTCTTTTGGCATCCCAGGTCTTTTTTTGTTTTATTACTACATTTCACGACCTTAGGCGTTGCTCCTCTAAAGCCTCTAAGTAGTATAAAATTGGATGACTTCACTTCTATGCTGCTCTCACACTTTCTGGAAATACCAAGCCACAACCAAAGTCGGGATTGGCTGGGGCATCCTCAGGGTGTTAATTGACCCTAGGAATAGCAAGCAGCAGGGCTGCGACACCCTCATCCCCTGGCGTAATTCCTGCTGGGGTGACCGGGGGCTGGCCCGTCCTACAGTTTGGCTTTCTCTTCCCTATGCCTTACCTTTGCCCTGCACTCTGGCTTGGCTGGGAGGCTGGGAAGTGGCCTCTTCCTGAGGCTCTTTAGAGAAGAGGTCCCCTTAGCCTGGGGTGTGTGCCAAGCCTCCAAGCCATGATTCATTCTCCTCCGGAGCCCTGGGGACCCTGTAGCCTATGAAGAGATGAATAAGTGCCACAAACCATCTTTTACTCTTTCAAATAGGCACCCTGAAATTATACATTCATTCATGAAAAGGCTTCACAAGTTTACTAAACCACCTTGGTGCCGGTGACTGGTTTTTTGTTAGGAAAACGTAAGCCAACGCGGAAGAAAGTGGATGTTAAAAATAGTGTAAGACTAGTAAGAGCCCAAACGAAAATGCTGAATGTGGTTCAGTGACTTAGCTAGGAGCTGGTAGAGAGGAGTTGGACCATTACGTGAGTGCTGACAACATTTTGGAGAAGAACAGTTCTAGGTAGAGTTGCCAAGGGAGTCTATGGTTTTGGGGTCCAATTTCTGCATTTAAGAGCTACTATCATGCAGCTCAAGCATCACCCTTTGGCACCTTCCTCACACCAGCTCAACTAAGGTTTCTGTAGGAAATGGTTCTGTTCTCCAAATGTGTGTTTGTTTTCAGTCCTTCGGATCCCACCGCTGCCCATGGCCAGTCTTGCTAGCATCCTGGATGCTCCTGCTTCCTTCCTGATACAAAGGAACCCCAGCAGAAATCTTTGTGTACAGAGAGAAGTGGTCTGTCTTTAGGAATTGTATGTAAAAGTGAATAAGTAAATCCTTTTCTTTGGGAAGATCGGTATAAACATGCTGCTTTTGGTAAAATTCTTTAAAGCCATTTCATCTAAATATAACTTCTGTTCCATTTTTTTTTTCTAAATATAACTCAGGGTTTAATGAGGGTTTTTTTACATGGAACGAGTTTTTGCAGGGGCCCTGCCTGAGTTGCTGCAGTTTTGGCACTTGGATTGCTGGGGTGATGGGGTGACAAATGGTGACAGAGTTTGTGGAGGGAACCTGAAAGCTGTCCGTCTTTTTCCTTTGGGTAGGTCTGCAGATCCGGAGGGGAATGCCTGACTTGCTTTACTTTTGGAAAGTTATAGGTTGGACTCATTCTTTATTGATCTCACTTCATGGAATTCTGGAGGAGAAAGTAGGCTAGGACACAAAAATCTAACTTTTAACAGAGTGTTCCTGCCTTTACAGTGATGTGCAGAGTTACCCAAAAAATTGCGACCTGAAAAATAATTTAAATGATTAACTTGTTGGAAGCTGCAATAATCCAAATCTATGTAATGCAACTCTCCTACTTATATTCCAACTTAGAATCAACTTTACTTGCCAAACTGGAGAAATTTAGGTTGGCACCCTTAAGATTAATTTACAACTCCTCAACTTCATCTGATATTTCCTGAGGACCTGTCATGGGCCGTGGGAAAGAGGATGAAGTAGACCCAGCTTTGCCCTATAGGGCTAAATATTGAAGTAGTGTGAACACAGACCACTCTAATAGGAAGTCTTTGTTAAGAGTCAACAAAGTCCAGAAAAGAATTTTCAGAGGAAAGAGAAGAGAAAAGTTGTTTTGGGCTAGCATGATCAAGGAACATAAGGAGAGGAAGTTGTTTTAAACTAGTCCCTGAGGTGCCTGGCTGGCTCAGTTGGTAGAGCATGTGACTCTTGATCCCGAGGTTGGGAGTTCGAGTCCCACATAGGGTGTAGAGATTACTTAAAAATAAAATCTAAAAAAAGCAAACCCCCCAAACCTAAACTAGTCCCTGAAACTCGGTCATTCTTTAATTCAAAGTGATTTCTTGTTAATTATAAAAACTTAAACAGTACAGTCTTCTTTAAACCTCAATCATGAGGTAGAAGCCAGCCCTTGGAGTGCAAAGGCCAGAAGTTCAGGGCTGTTGGGGGTAATACAAGTTATTCCATTTGCCTGGAAGGATGAGGGGTCATGGCATGGGAGGCCTTGAATGTCAGTGAAGGAATCCAGTCTTAATCAAGAAGCAGCAGAGAACCATTGAAAGTTATGCTGG